TCTTGGAGAATTCTGGAAGTTGTGGTCCAAAAATACAAAAAGCATATCCATACTGACAATTCCAGTGTTCCCTTACTTAATACAGTGAGCTTTTGACAATCTGATAGGCCCATTCTCATTCTCGGTATCATGTTTCACTGAGAAAGAGCACAATGCTTTCCCCCCCTCTCAATATATTTCAGTTGCAGGGGATGGGGAAAGAAGAAAATATTAGTGGCAAAACACAGTTGATTTCACATAACAATTTTTGTCCCAGCTGAAGTAGGGGTCATTGTTTACAGCTTTTCAGGTAACAATGTGGTAAAATACCTACATAATAGATTTAGTTCTTTGAGGATTCTGCAAGAAAATGTAACTATGACAAATTTTTAAAATCCCTTATCAGCACATAAGAGTTATAAAGGGGAATTTTGAATTCAGAATATTTTAAGAGCTAGCTGAGGTTTTTAAAAGTCTGTTTTTCCAAAGGAAGCAATAGGAGCTAAGCACTTGAAAACTTATTTCATGTGTTTATGAGTAGCAATTGGTAACAGATATTACACGTAATACAAATGTGTATCTTTTATGAAAACCGGTCTGTTCAGTTTTCTTTGCCGTCACTGGATTCCACATTTTTAATTCATTATTTTGATTCACTCCAAACCAAATGCAAACAGAGCTAAACCAGTTTCTTCTCTTGGATTAGTACTACCACACCCAGTAATCTACAGACAATAATCCCAAAACAGAGAACACTGTGTGTAGCACTAACTTTGAGCAACCACCACCAAGTATAAGAGAATATGTGAACATGCCTAGCCTTTAGTGAACATGCCCTGCCTTTAGGGAAGCTATTTTTTGTTAACCGGGTATCCAAATAAAATATCAAACATTATTACTAACAGAGAGAGGCTGAGATGCATGTTGTTGAATAAAAAATGTATAGTATCTTCAGCTGTTTAAAGATTTAATTTAGCCATTGAAATGAAAGCTGTTCTAGAGTGGAGTGTCATTCTGCTGCTGATGTCCTCTGCAGTCTTCAGAGAAATGAGTTGCAAATGTACTTGTGCAAGCAAGTGCTTCACATAAATATGCGTGATTAAAGATTGTGGCAGATCTTGTTGTGGATGTGCTCTTAGTCACATTCATCGTTTTAGTTCATTTTAGATTGCTTGCATGTATAAACAAGATTATTTATATCTGCTTTTTCAACTCTCAAAAATCTCTTAGCAAACTGTAGTGAAATCGATTATACTATTGTAAACAATATTTTTTAAAAAGTTTGAGAGAAGACAAAAAGAAAGCCGTAGCATAATTCTATGATTAAAGCTGTCTTATTCTCTTTTATGTTTATTGTATTTTAATTTTGTTTAATTTTGTTTTCTAGAGATAAATACTTTAAGCCAAAGTAAGTGCTACATAATTTAAAAACAAACAAAAACACCTCTTGACATTTTCCTTAAAACCAGATACCTAATCTTTCCAATATAGTCCACTCTTTTAACTGTTCCAGGCTGAGGAGGAATCAATAAAACTTCCTGGACTCAAGATTAACTATATGTAGCCTTGGACAAATTACACAGATCCAGAGTGCCCCCGGGGAAAGGGAACAGTAAACCATTTCTGTTACTCTGTACCTAGAAAACCCTGGAAAGGGTCATCCTAAGTCGAAGTAGACTTATTATGATTACTACACTAAAAGTAGTACAATATTCAATGGTTTGCTCATTCAAGCTTCTTCTTTTATTGCTCATGTATTTTAGCTCCAGTGATAACAATTTCTGTTGTGTGGAAAAAAGATATAAAGGCACTAATTGTGAAACATTTAAACATGTGAAAGTTTTAAAAATGTGTTATCTTGTTGAAATAATATTCTAGTTCGAATATTGTTGTTCTTATGATCAGAACCAATCCATAAATGGTCTAAAAGGGAATTTGTTATTTGATTTTTTTTCCCTTTAGAAAAGAACAGGAGAGAAAAGGAGAGAATAATTAACTGTCAGGATTTGCTATAGCCTGTGTTTGTTCAACATGCATAATGGAGGGAAAGGCACCAAGAAACCAATATTCTCTGGCAGAAGAATTTGCCAAGTGCCCTTTGTGACACAAGTGTCCCATTTCTTTTCCTACATCAGATTTAGCTGCGGAATGCTTACTGTCCTTTGAAGCAGAATAAATCATTCTTTTCAGTACAATAGAGAGTTCTCACACTTTGTCTAGTGTTCAAAGAGATTAAGCAAATGTAAAATTTCACTGTATCATTTCCTCCCTCTCCTACGCCATAGTCTTATGTGTGTGTCACTTAGAGGAGTCCATTTCCATTTGTAATAGTTGGGGTGAGGCTTGAAAAGGGGTTTTGGCTTCCTTTCAAGCCAATGACAGCAATTCTATCAGTTTTGACAGAAGTTTGGAGGGAGAGAGAGGAAGTTCAAACTTGAAGTTATGAAATCTAAAAACTCTACCATTATTCCTATACTAGGTATGGTGTAAGAATAGGTGTGTACTGTAACTTCAGTGGTTCATGGTTTTTGTATTAACTAAGAAATAATTAGCGTTATCAATTTGATGTAGTCACAGAATAAGTTAGAAATACAATAAAATAAAACATGGTAAATACACAATAACAATATAGGTATGGATTCCTTATGAGCCAAAATGGAGTTCTACCTAATTTGTATTGAGGGTTGAGTGAATTTAGCCTTTTCAGTAATATGGACAGAGTAATTAATCCATTACAGCAAAAGATATTTCAGTGGGTCTTCTAGGGAGAATTCTAACAAGGAGGAATGTTAAGTTGTTTCTTGACAGTTCAATCAATGCACTGTTTTCATAGTTTTTATCAGTTAAAAGTGTCCACACTTTCTGGATTGTCTGTGAGCCAGGCAGAGTTTGCACTCCAGAGTTCTTCCATTGGCAGATGGCTGCAAACGCATCCCAGCAATACTGTATACATTCCAAAGTAAAATGAGCACATTTCAGATAAGCACGTTTTGTGAAAGAAATGCACAAATTTCAAACTTGCAAAATATGCTTGATATGCTTAAAGCTTTAGTCAGGGCAGAATGTATTCAAGCAATGTATAAAGGTTACAATAAGCATGCAAAGTTGTAAAGGGAGGCAACATATCCTCCAAGGAGGGAGTGGGAGGGAACATGGCTTTTTGGCCTGGGCCTCACTTAACTGGAGTGGGGAGCAGCTCACCTCAACCAAGGGGGAATTGTACTCTACTTTAAAAAAAAAATCTACATGCCATTGTCATTCCTGAACAGTGAGGGGATCTCACCATGTGAAATGGCCCAGGCCTCATCTGATATCTTGAAGGGGAACAGAAGGAGGTCGCTTCAGTCCTGGAATCCCATTACTTACCATCACCAATGTAACTTTACAGCATAACTTTCAGTGGCAAATTGCCTCCAGGTAGTTGGCTCTTGTCACACAGATGTTACCTGAAGTGGCACATACCAAGAAAAACTAGTGGCTGAAAGTTACACCATTGGATTTGTGCTGGCATTAAGTATGTAATAGGAGTTAAGCCATGGAAGTGGAAAAATGAAGAAGGAAAAGTCCAGGAATGCAGATTTCATAGGTGTTGCACCTCTACCTGTCACATGATGGCTGAAAAAGATACCTTTTATCTCTTATGTAGCAAATCTGGAGCAACTGTGATTTGGAGAGATGATGGGGTACAATTGAGGAGTGTGTGTGGAGAGATACTGTTGAAAAATAGCTTGAGGGTTCTTTCAGAAGCCTGGTTTTATTTAGGTGCTTCATTGTTGCATGGTGCAATTCTTTCAAGTAATAGAAACAGGGTGCCAGGACCAAAACAGAAAAGATAGTTACAGTAGCTTCCTGTTTAGGGGACAAGAAAAAGTTGCCCACTCAAGATGTGAGTTTTCAAAGCCGCTCCACTTCCAAAATAAACATGTAAACAGAACTCATGGTTCTCTACTGATGACTGAACACTAAAAATCAAGCTTGTTTGCAACTTGTTAAAAATATAAAAGAATAATCAGACAGCCTCTGCTAGTTAAGTAGTCTCCATTTCTTTTATTAAAGCTCCCTGTCTCAACTATTTTGATGCTTAGCTTCTAAAGGGAAGGCCAAATGGGAGTAGCCTTAATTTCTCAGTAAACATCCTATCCGTAATGGCATGCTGAAGTTACATTACATAGTACTGGGAGTAGATGATAGTGTTTATTTCTTTGCTATGGGAAAAATAATAATTAATTAATTTGAATTTCATGTTTTAATTAACATTTAATGAAGCTTGAAGCTGACCACTCTTTTTGTTAGGCAACTTTCTAGTTAATAGTCTGCAAAAACTAGTTTGATGCAGGGACTTTATTTAATGTTATTTTTACATAATTCCCAACACATTCTTTCAACCGCATAAAGTTGGCATGTGGTAATATAGATTTTTAAAGGATGGTTGAAGATAAAAGGAAATTTTTCTGCCTTCAATATCCTTCAATGTCCTTCCTCCCTAGCTGTGTGCACATGTACGTGTACAAGTGCAGGTGCATGGATTTGTAAGTACATATGATTGTTGCAAACAACAGCCATAAGAGAGAGGGAAAAATCAGTGTTGGCTAAAAGCACTTCAGTGGTCCAGGAGCTTCCTCCTGGGATCTTATACTGAGCGAACAAATCTGCTGTTTTGTACAGTGTATTTTATTACACACCATGGGTGTTATACTATTTACTATTTGTAAATAAAGTCATTTATAAAAACACACATACTTTAAATATTCTTGATAGTAATGTACTCTAAATGTTCTTGATAGTAAGCCCCACTGAACTCAGTCAGAATGAGTTTTTTTTTAACTGGCTTTTACTGTACACATAAAAGTGTTTCTCATCCAGAGAAAACCAAATTCAGCTTCTTCCCCCTTGGGATGGTGCACAAGTATGATTGCCCAAAATTACTCATTAAGAAAAGTGTAAAATGATCTTTAAAGTTCAACATTTGGGACTTGTGACAACCTTTCAACAATACTTAATCTTACTTTGTACTTCCACAGAAGGTATTCATATTCACTGGATCTTTTCGGAAGAATCTAGATCCTTATGAACAATGGAGTGATGAAGAATTATGGAACGTTGCTGAGGAGGTAAAATAGTTCCTTATTTCCATTTGATGTATCTTAACCAGTGAAGGGTTTTTACCTCTTTTTGATATTGTGAGAACATAATGGCAGAAACAGAAATAAATTGATATTTGTCCCCTTAGTAGAGTGTAAATCCAGGCAGGACCAAAGGATAGAAGGGCAAGGCTCTTAGACAGTCAGTCTCTCTTCTTTCTTTTTCCTAAAGGATAGAGACTTTTCAACTGTTTGCAAAGCTGTATCCACCTTGATTCTGACCATTCTTTCCCCCCTGCACAATGAATACATGACATTAGCCAGGCATGTAATCAGTAAGAAACAACACTTTATACGTAAATCTTCCATTGAGGATTGTGGAGATTTTACTTCTAGGAAAAGATGTTTTCTGGGCATATATGAGCACTTGTTGTTGTTTAGTTGTTAAGTCATGTCCGACTCTTCGTGACCCCATGGACCAGAGCACGCCAGGCCCTCCTGTCTTCCACTGCCTCCCGGAAATGGGTCAAATTCATGTTGATATGAACACTTAGCTGTTCCTTATCCCCTTGTAGCTTAGGATCCTGTAGGAACACTAGTAAGACTGCACAAAAAAATTGGCCTAAATCAAGAAATCAGGATCTTTCTTAGCTCACATACAGCAAATGTCAACGGCAATTCCACGCAAGCTAATGATGTTGCTTGAGTCAAACTGACTGTGGATTGTCATAACCAGGATCTTCCCTTTAGTTTTTCTTCATCAGAGCTTTTAAGGAATTGTACCCAGTTTTCAAAAGTTCGAAATCCTTGGAATCAGAAAGGAAGGATACCTCCTTGGGGAAACCCTTTGCTACCAGTGATGGTTCCAGGAACTTTCCTCCTAGGAGAATCTCCAACAAAGCAAATGTCTTTTGTGGTTCCTGACTGCTCAGCTCAAGCAATGTGAAAGGTAGTTCCAGACTAGTATTTAAATCAAATATTACACTAGATTTGGAATGGATTTGGATTAAATATGCTGACAGCTAAAACAAAATTCAGATCACAGATGGTTACTCTGTAAGAGACTATTTTAAGTCTTAATGCATCAAAGGGCAGGAAGAAAGCTTTTCTCTCTTGTGAGCCTTTGATGTAACATTTGAACAGACGGAAATTTCTGAAGAATTTTATTGGAAGGTTGGACATGGACCTTAGATGAAATTGCAAGAGTTCTGAAAAAGAAAAAAAGATCCCTCATTTTCAATGAGGGGAAATGTTTTGTTGAACACATGTACAAATAACCAAAAGTTAAAAAAAAAAACTCATTTAGGAAATTAAGCTGACCTGGAAACTAAATTTATATAAAACTCATAAGGGGATAATTCTAATGATCTCTTAGTAATGCTTAGTGTATTTCATCTGGATGGAATAATAATATTAGTAATAAAAGTGGTAGCAGCAATGAAGAAGATAGTACAAGAAGCATATCTAAATTTTTTTCTAAATTATTTTGTAACTTTAATTTAACTTAAATCCTTTTAAAGAAGCACTAGAATGAAACTATTTCCAGGAGGGCAACATTGTTATAATTGTTTAAAGAGGATCTTGGAGTGGTGCTTTTTGTTTGTTTGTTGACAAATGGATTCCTAGAAATTATGCAGTCACATGGCTGGATAGCTCAGTGAGTTAAACCTGGGTGTAGAGCAAGATGTTTGATTCCCCACTGTGCTTCCTGGAAGAAGAAACAGCCTATGTAGCCTTGGGTAAACTGCATAATCCCAGAATACTACCAAAGAAAGGGAACAGTAAACATATTTTGCAAAGGAATTTACTTGACAGCACATAATTGGGAGCTATACTATACTATATAGCTCTAGCTGCCAACAAGTAAGCCGAAAACAAGGGCTTGTCTGTGTTGGCTCTAAGTAAATGAAAACTCTGTTTCCTGAAATTCATATTTGTTTTGATAAACTTTTAGTCGTGATAATTCAAACTGATAATAAAGTGCTAAATAATATTTAGGAATTTTAATTTCTCTTTTTAAATAGTAACGTGGTTTCAATGCTTTGGGTTCTTCTTCTCTTCATTTACTTGGTTTTGCATCAGAATAAGAATAGGATCCACCAAGAGAATACTTATTATATCTGAATGTTTGCTCTGCTTTCTGGTGAATATTTTTCGTTTTCCTTGTAGTCCTAAGGTCCTTTCTTTTCTCTCTCCTCTCACAGGGAAGGTAAACAGGAATGCCTTTCAAGGGTTGGAGGAAGACATAATTTTTTTATTTAGCAGACTGGGGAATTTTGAGGGTTGGTGACTGCAGCAGGGCTGGAACTCCATACATGGCATGTAGTTTGCGGGTTTTTTGGCTGTTTTTTGAATGTTTGCTTCCCTCCTTGTTAAGTCAGCACAAACACCAATTTATAGGTGCATGCCTGCTGTAGAGGGAGACTACAAAAAACACAGCACTTTAAATAAATGACACCTTGCCATATGTTGTGTCTGTTTTTTAAATGGATTAGAAACAGTGGTAGAAAGAGAGATAATCATTGGAAGCATAGTTGTAACAAGTCAAAAATAAAATGTAATGTAAATACTACACAAAAATTATGAAAGAAAGAATAGCGTGTAACATGAAAAATACTTAGTACAAACACATCCATGGATTGAATGTGTTTAACACTGAGAACTTCAGATGAACTGTTTGATTAAAGTAGTTCTCAAATATCCTATTATTGCAAAATTATCTTATTTAAAAGGCTAAAGTAAGTCACAGTTAGGGTAAGCCCATTTGAATCAATAGAATTTATGTAGGAGCTGACTCAACAAATCCCCATTGATTCTATAGGCCCACTCCAGTGTGTGTTACTACCCTAAGCAACAGGATTTTGGCTGATAATGTGTTATCTGTTGCATTGTGCATCGTGCATTCTAAAACCAGTGTTTAAACCATTATTAAATAGTCAAAGGCAGGAGAGGAGAATGTTTCTTCCAAGCCTTCTGTGGTGGCATCTCTCTCTTTATTCCTATGCCTATAATGTTTGGCTCCCATTTAGAGTAACCTAGTACTGATAATATCTATAAAAAACAAACAGCGGACCTTCAGAGAATCAACAAAGGCCATGTTTTAACATAACTGAAAGTGACAGTTAGAAAGAGCCCTGTGGCATCTTTAAGACTAACAAGTTTTATTTGGCATAGGCTTCTGTGGACTGCAAAATCTTTTGTTCTTGCTGCAACAGATTGAGCTAGCTCTCTGGAAAAAAAAATCTGAAAGCCATAGTTTTTTTAGCTGTGGTTTGTTGGCTATCAGATCTGGCTGTCAGATAGTCAGATCAGACTATTGTTTGTTTCACCTCAAATTGGTATTTTGTTTCTACATCTGTTCTGTTAATATCTACATGTTATAGTAAGGTTCTTTATGTCATCTCATCATCAGTTCTCTTTCCATCAGCTACCTGGAGAAATGGGGCAGAACATGAAATGAACTCCTTCTTTGGAAGTTTTTGGTCTGAACAAAGAAGAGACCTTAAGCCTCCCTCCCTTCCCTTATTCCTAGGTGTTTCCACGAAGGCTTGCTAGCCCTGTTTGTAAATCCTCTGTGGTCAGCAGCAGTTAATTTAACAACAGACCACTCAAGATTCACAAACCCATGTCAGACTAAGATTTCAGATCTTGATTGGCTGGATCACAAAAAATTGAGAGCTTAACATAAATCTTGCTTTTAGATATATAGACAAGGTAGAGGTAATCTAAACAAACTTCTTGTTTTTTTTACATCTGAACATGAGCAGTGAGAGCCCCTTGCTCAAAAGGCTCTGGATTTGTATATCTGGGAGGAGAAGCTACAAGTGCAGAACAAAGCCATCCCTGGGCTATTCTTCAGACATGTTTTGAAGTTCCAGTGCCACAAATTATTTGCTTTGTGATGTGGGGAAACTGTTATTCAAAAATTAAATCCCCTGTGGCTTTTATCACACGGCACTAATTGCATGGGCATTTTGGTAATAACCAGATATTTTTACTGAAGGAAACTATTCATTGCATCCTACGTTTCCTCCCTCAGGTTGGACTGAAATCCGTAATAGAACAATTTCCAGGACAGCTTGATTTTGTCCTAGTGGATGGTGGCTGTGTCCTCAGTCATGGACATAAGCAGTTGATGTGTCTTGCCAGATCAATTCTCAGTAAAGCACAAATTCTTCTTCTTGATGAGCCAAGTGCACATCTTGATCCTATGTAAGTACTGAAAAAAATTGCTTTCTCTGTTTCTTTTCATATCGGAATGTGGTTAAACAGTGATTATAATTTTCATGAGACCACATTTTGCTCACCCCTGACCTGGACTTGTTTCTGTCTGGCCGCAGGTCTGGATTTCTCCCAAAAGAGACAATTCACAGGTTATGGATTGTCTCTTTTGGGAAAGGTTGAAGGGGAGCATCAGTGGCTGCTTCTATAATCGGCTGTAGTGTATTGTTGGACTGTCTCTGTATACTGGGATAGAAAGTACAGTGATACAATGGTGTGATCTGAAGTTTTAGTCCACAAACATCTGGGGATGAAAGGCTGGGAAACACTGCTAAGGTGCCTAGTTTCATCTCAGGATTTTGTGAATTGGAATCCTCTTCACACAACTCTGCATGTGTAACTGACAATTTCATCAGCCACAGGCTTTTAATCATTAATTAAATGTTTCCTATCTCCCTTTACCCTATCTATTCCCCACCGCTCTCAGGTTCCAAGGCTGCCTAGGAATCCCTTTTGACCCAAGGGAGTGTTTGGAAACCTCAAGAGAAGCAGGGAGAACCTTTAATATCCAAAAATCACTGCTGTCAGGCTCCAGATCCAAAGGGATCCCTAGGAAACTTGGAATCTAAGGTTGAGGGAGATGATAGGAAGCTTAAAGTCCATGACCGATGACGTCATCAGCCTTACATGTAGGGAGCTGCACGAACAAGATTCTGACCAATGCTTTTCTCCAGTTCTATAAATAAAAGTCTGACAATCTCTCTGCATCTGTCCCATGGCCTTACATTGAAGCACATGGTCTCTGTTTGGCTGGAGATGATTGTATCTTTGATCATTTGGCAACAGTTCCTCAGCTGAAGTGCCCTTCTCTGTGTCATTGCTGCTTGAAGCCTTGAAAATCAGTATACTGTACTGTATATCAGTCCCCATGGAGCCTCCCGAAGGAGTGCAACAACACTGCAAGTATGCTTGGGAGTCTCCTGAGCAATGGCATGCAGCTGGCCAATCCTTCTCTTCCAGAAGCATTGCAATGTAAATTTGCTAGATATTCTTTTGCATCAATAGCCTTAATTAATATTTTAATTTCCTTTTTATTTTACCTATACATCCATAATTTTAAATTGTGCAACACCCTGACGGAAACAAAAGCTTAGCAACAGTTTAATATTTTATAATACTCTTTATAATAATCTTCTCCCAACCTGCTGCCTTTGTAGCACTTCAGTGCTGCTTTGAACTGCAGGTAGAAGATACAGTGTTCTCTAGTTATAAACAGATAGGTGTAAATACATATAAAAAGGTCTATTTCATGCAAAAAATATATACTAGTCTTACTATCAGTTTAAACGTTACAGTTTTAGATTCCTTAATGAAGTACAGTATTGGAAATGTTAGTCTGGTGAGGATCATTGCAGGTTTCCATTGCTACACTCAGAAAATACCATTCCTTTGTGGAAAGGGAGGACTGGAACACCAATTTAACTGAAGCGCCATCCTGCCCTTTTTGATCTCTTATAGCAAATATTAACCTGATACTATTTTTTAACTGATCAAGACTATAAATAAATAAAAATAAGAACTACCACATAACATAAATATTGGTCTATTGACATGACAGCACATGATTATTATTATATTTCTTTCTTACTTATTCTGGTGTGCAAATGGTAATAACTAGGTAAGCATAGGTTTCAAAATACTGTATGTATCATGCTGGTATGAACGGTCATCTTGTATGAATATTTCATATGAACTGTAGTCACTCTGCAACAATACTGTAAAAGTCTGGGAAACACTGTAAAAATTGTGTGTAGCCAAATATTGTATTGCATACATTTACTTATTAAAAATTATTTACCTTTCAGAACCTTCCAAGTGATCAAAAAAACTCTGAAGCAGGCTTTTGCCAACTGTACAGTAATACTCTCAGAACACAGACCAGAAGCACTACTAGAATGCCAGCGATTTTTGGTGAGTGTTAAACACAATGGCTGGGATCTAAAGTGCTTTTTCAGGTTTGATTGAGGGCTTCAGCATGTCCAGTGGCATTTGCCCCCACATTGTTATTCGAAGTGCACAGCCTTCTGCAACATCACATTTTCCCATAGTGCATTGCTCTGGAGCAATGCTTGCCAGGGACCCAGAAAATTTGTAAGGGGATTTATATAGTGAGTGTAGCAGATGTGGTGGAGATCATTTTCCATCAATCAATCTGCTATTAGTCTTTTGCCTCAATGGAAGAAGGAGGAAGGGAAAGGAAGAGAAGGGGAGGTAATGGCTCAATGAATCCTTGAGAAGGTGTGGGCTCTTGGCGAAAACCCAGTGGTGCGAAAGTTGATTCTGGACTTGCTGGTACTATTTCCCCCCATACTCATGCATAAAATTAAGCCATACACTAAAGTACAAGAGTTGTAGGCTTGAAGTGACTGATGTACATGCATGCACTGAAGTGGCTTCTAGTTCATGAAAAAGTATGCCATAACAAATTCTGATAATCTTAAAATTCCTACAAGAACCTTTATTATTATCGTATAATGAAACTGTTAATCAACAGATTGGACTCCACTCAGTATTCCTATTATTCAAAGAAATGATTTGAAGATGTGTGTCAATATAGTACTGTAAATATCTATTCAGAAGGAAACCCACACAATTCAGTGATGGTTTATTCCTGAACAAATCTGTCTAGGACTGTAGTCTTTCTGAATTGATGGTTTGGTCCTCCACAGTAACCTAAATCCAAGATTTCTTAGGAACACGAAATAGTGGGTGAGATGCAAATATGCAGAGTGACACATTTATTATTGGCATTTTGGAAGATGGTATTTTCTGGAAGTAGTCAAGCCATGAACAAAGTTTTGCCCTTTAATTCTAATGCAGGCCAACTCTTTTTACTAGGTGATAGAAGATAACAAGGTCAAGCAATATGAATCAATCCAGAAGCTACTGACTGAGAAGAATTCCTTCCGACAAGCCATCAGTCATTCAGATCGAGCCAGATTCTTCCCACTACATCTCAGGAACTCAAGCCAACGCAAGTCCAGGCCTAAAATTGGTGCCTTGCAGGAAGAAACAGAAGAAGAAGTGCAAGAAACTCGATTGTGAACATATATTGCTGTGTTGTCTCATTACAGTTAAGAGGAAGTATTGTGAGGGGAAAAGACCAGACAAGGGAAATATTGACAGAGTACCACTGCAGAAGCAAGCACAGATCAAGCAATTATATTACTTTATGAATATGTAAAGATATTTCACTGTATTAAATAATATAGGCAACAATCCCCAAATATCATCCACTATTTACACACCTGATTTTTAAAAAACTCATGATGGAAAACCTGATGATTCAATTTTAAATTATATTCTTAAATATTTCAGCTGTGTCAGCCTATCCTATAAAATATCATGGTCGCAGACATCTAAATGTAGTACAAGGCAACCATAGACTACAATCACTATCTTTTAAATCAGAATCCATGGCTTAATTAAAATTAAAAACCCACTTTTCCTCATGAAAGCATGAACCAAGGGTATAATGTATGTGCTTTCTGAGACAATAATAGGCCTTGAATAGTATTTATTATTGTGCCAATTATAAATATTTAGAATATTAACTAGACGGCCTAAACATTTAATTTCTGCATCAAAAAGAGCATAATAACTATCTGCCCTTGGCATTTAAGCATGTAAGTTTTCATATAAACCATTCTGATTAATCTATATATGTGTTCCTTATGGCCAGGCATAAATTATGAAGCCCAAAAAGCATGCTTACTGCCTCACCAAAACTCGGGTGCTGTTCTCTAAGATAGTACAGTACAGAGGCTTGATTAGCTGTTATGACTGCTATGTTTGTTCAGAAAATATGTGAATTAGAAAACTGGAAAATAGATTTAAATCAGTGACTTAAATTGCCTTGATCTGGATCAGTTCACCCTCATGGAAAGCTATGGGCATTTTGATGAAACTTAATTCTGCAGAATTGCTTGTCCATGGCATTCAGCTGAATTACGATCAAAGACCATGATATTTAGATCAGCTAAATCTGAGATGACTTCAAAGTGAAAGTGCATACATGGCAATTATGTTTCAGAAAAAAGTTCCAATTTATTTTAGGATCACTACTTGATGGAACAAAATCTTCAGTCCTTTAGATCTGAAGTCATTTGAGGCTACGCATATGAACTGCATTTTTGCCCTGGAATGATGGCCAGTTGTTACCCTTGAGTGCTTGCTGGAAAGTCAAGGTACAATATTTTTTAGCAACTGGAGGAAGGATTAATAATCCACAGTTTATAATATGCTGATCATAATGAAGAGAGTTCAATAATATACAAAGAAGACAGTAATTTTTTAAAAAGTATTTCTAACAGTCTTCCAAGACTTGTCCTCACAATCTTGAAGAGCAGCTGAATCCCAAAAAATTAAAAGTTGTCAAGGTTGTTTGGGGCAGACATTTCTCAAGTGTTTTAAAATTTTATTTTATAGAAATTGTAGCTCATGATACCAGGATAAGAGAACTTAAGTTTGTGATAGCCTTCTTTTCTACAGTTCTATTTTGCAGTTAACTGACATTTCTATAGAATATTTATTTAATATCTTTACTAAAATTATTGAGAAATGCACACATTAAGGCAATTCTGTTTTTTAAAAGGAATCGCATACCATTAAGACTATGTTTGTATAAAGACAATTGTTATATATTTGAAATAAATATTTTTAATTCAAGTTACTGCACATTTTCCAAGGAGTCTTCTCATGAGATGGTCAAAGTATTGGAGCCTCAGCTTCAGGATCTGTCCTTCAAGTGAACACTCAGGACTGATTTCCTTTAGAATTGATAGGTTTGTTCTCCATGCAGTCCAGGGGACTCTCAAGAGCCTCCTCCAGCACCACAATTCAAAAGCATCACTTCTTCGGCAGTCAGCTTTCTTTATGGTCCAGCTCTCACTTCCATACATCACTACAGGGAAAACCATAGCTTTGACTATGCGGACTTTTGCTGATAACGTGATGTCTCTGCTTTTTAGGATGCTGTCAAGGTTTGTCATCACTTTTCTCCCAAGAAGCAGGTGTCTTTTAATTTTGTGGCTGCTGTCTCCATTTGCAGTGATCATGGAGCCCAAGAAAGTAAAATCTGTCACTGCCTCCATGTCTTCCCCTTCTATTTCCCAGGAGGTGATGGGACCAGT